AAAGCAAAAGGAACAGGAAGGACCTAGAAAGCAAAGCTCAGAATAGATGTATAATAGGTGTGTACATATGTAAATACATTAATCCACAAAAATAGAGGTACTGGCCTATGTACATATATTTATTTGGCAATACACTAAGGTACTGGACAGACTTCAGGCCTCTGCTCATACCCTCCCCCTCAATACAAGAACACTTTGTTCTAACAAATGCATTCTGTGATGCTCACCCTCCTAGCACAATTGCTGAAGACAAAATGGGTGCATAAGCAAATGTGAAGAAAGCTGATGGTGCCCAGCTATCAAAAGATACACTCTCTGGGGTCTTAAAGGCTTGAATTTAAACAAGTGGCCATCCAGCAGAGAAGCAACAACCCCACATGGAAAAAGCACACCAGCTGGTGCGAGCATGAGGTGTCATCGGTACTGGGTACCAGGCATCAGAAGACCCATAACAAACAAACAAAAGTATATCATTGAGAAAAGGGGGGGTCAGAGAAGAGATCCAAAGCCCATCTGTAGACAATGGAATATCCCCCCACAGAGGGGTCAAAGGGACGGGATGAGTACCAGGGCACAGTAAAGCACCGATGAAACACATAAACATAACATTTCAGAGAATTTCAACAGTAGTAAGAATGTTAGGACTTGTTAATTTTTTTGTTTAATAAAAAAAAATATTTCATTGGGGGCTCTTACACTATTCCTCTTGTTCCTTGAGGCGTCCTCACCGCCCACTATCACAACCCCAGGACGCCTCAAGGAACAAGAGGAATAGTGTTAAGAGTCCCCAATGAAATATTTTTTTAATTAAACAAAAAATTAAATAGCACAGTACTTATCTGCATGTATAAGCACATTTTTTGCTATTCCATTCCAACCTTTTTTGTTTTGAAAAATGGTATTAGCTACGAACAAGTCATTCATTGGTCTTACAAAATTCTCATTCTAGAAAAGCTTTGGAGCAGTTTCTATTCTGTAATGTGTCGTGGCCATGAGTCAAGCCTGAGTCTATGCTACTCACAGACCCACTATGGCTGAGTAAGTACATAGGTTAAAAGCACTGACAGCCTCGGTGTGTGTACTTAGTTCCCTGCTTACACTCGACTTCCCAGCTACTCTGCTCAAGCTGCTCTGGCAGCAGCTGCCCCACTCCTCGCGAGGGGTAAGACTGCCAGATTCCCTGATTTTCTGAGAAATGAAAAATGAAGTGACTATTTTTCACTGGCTTCAGCTTTCCTTTCCTCTTAATGCCAACCAGTCTGACATATGCTGCAGGTCATTTTCTGGCCAACATTGCCCCATGCAAGGCCTTTATGTGTTTGTTTTTTTAATTGTGGTAAAATATGTACAGCAAAACTGTTGGCCTTTTGGTTTTTAATACCCAAGTGTTGTACAAATGATTGCCCAGTGGTTGCTTCTGCAGGAACCCCAGGGGGCTTTTCAAAGTTCATGGAAAAATGGAACTAAAAAGTCTGAAGTATATAGTGTTTTAATTTAAACCCTTTTGTACATACATACCCCAAATTCAATTCATTTTAAATAAATGATATGAAGGAAGTCTTGAAGTTACTTTCTTGATAGAACATCAGAATCCCATGTAGATATTTTTTAAAGCAAAAGAGTGTAAAACAATAGCTTCTCGGTAACTAGATTTAACTACTTGGAGAGCAGAGAGTGTTGTTTAGCACGTAACAATTAAGTGGTATTTGTTACTTATGAACATATTTTTTTCTTTTTTACTTAATACTTCGGAAACTGGTTATGTTCTACTAGATTGACATGCAATGCATTTAATGTTCCCCACTTAAACAGTGGGAATTGGGCTCCTGATGGTTACTGTAAAGTAGAATGCTTGATTTTCAGGAGTGGACTACTGTCAGAGAAACAGATGGCTACATTATCATACTTTAAGAATCACAACGAAGTAGAAATAACTCACTGGATTAAGAATTGGGAACACTGGTGTCTTTTATGCATTTAGACACTTAAGACTCAACCTAACTTCTCTCATCAATACCTTTTAAAAGTCATAAATTAATATGCTTTTTAAAAAACTGTACCAAACAGTAGTAGTATTAACAAGTCCGAACATTCTTACTACTGTTGAAATTCTCTGAAATATTATGTCTATGCAAATACCAACCCTTCAGCAATGCAAGGAAGTGGAAGACTATCTATTTCTAAGTAAAATACGGCAAGATTACCAGTCAGAACTAGAGCCAACTGTCCACATTTTTATACCTCTTTGATGTGATTGCTTTAGGCTATGCTCCAGAGTATTAATCCCATTCTTTCAGGTACCACCAGGCTACTGTCTTGGGACAGTAAAATAATTACTGTTCCCTGTCTACATTCTTAGTTCTAATTCTCAACTGAAATAATATTCTTGTATGAAATATAAAGTTAATTACAATTCAACTCTCAAAGTGATATTCCGTTTCTAGCTGTCACAACTCCCTCTTCTAATTTATTTAAAGCTATTCTGTAGCCCAGTAATGCTGTGATATACAGATCTGGTCATCCTTTTGATCATGCTGCCTTCCAGTGCCAATGGAAAATAGTCCCCAAAGGCTCCACAAACACTCTTTCTTGTCAAAGAGTCTACGATGTGTTCCTTGCACTATTAGAACTGATACATTGAATCCTTAAATCCCAAATGAAAACAGGACAGATAATGTAGTCTATGATTTTAATACTATACTCTTTGGATTTCTCCCAGAAGATGTATTTCCAAGGTAAAGATATGCTCTCATGCACAGTTAGAGTACTAATATGGACCAATTGAAAAGTGTGTGTGTGTGTGTGTGTGTGTGAGAGAGAGAGAGAGAGAGAGAGAGAG